AGCTAAGTGCTCTACCACTGAGATACACTTCCAGCCCTCAAAAAACCAGGATTTTAAAGTTTGAATGTAAGCGATCCAATGTCTAAATAATAAAAGCTACAAAGAAGGACACAGGAAAGGGCCACCTCCAGTCTCTAGGTCAGCTTTGTGTGAATGGAAAAAGACATCTACTCTGGGTGAAGGCATGCTGCGCACACAGTATGAGGAGCAGAAAAAGACACTTCTCTTCCAAGCAGACACCGCATCAGGCTAAGACTTGAACAGTGCAGTGAATGGGATCCAGGTTAGACTTTGGCCCCATCCGCCTCCTCAGCAGGGCACCTTTGTGCAACTACACAGTCCTAAGTAGTAACCTTGATGCTATGGAGGAAATCATCTAGGATATAAATACCTGAATTTCACAATTGAAAAGCCTCAGCAAGCATCCAGATCAGTGGATAAAAATAGATCCATTAAGACATACCATGAAATTTCACAACTTTGGGGATAAAGGAATACTTCTACAGCTTCTGAAGAGAAACAAATCAAGCAAAAAGGTAACATGCACAGAATCAGAAATTAGAAAGGCTTCAGACTTCTCAACAGCAACCTTGACAATGAAGCCATTTCCACAAAAAATTAAACAGAGTTACCATATGACCTGGAAATTCCACTCCTAAGGTATATACTCAAGAGAACTGAATACATATGTTCACATAAAAACTTGTAAATAAGTTGGGCACCCATGGCTCATACCTGTAATCCTAGCTAATCAGGAGACAGAGATCAGGAAGATCACAGTTCAAAGCCAGCCTAGGCAAATAGTTCGAGAGAACCTGTCTCAAAAAAACTCATCACAAAAAAGGGCTGGTGGAGTGGCTCAAGGTGTAGGCCCTGAGTTCAAATGCCATACTCACAAAAAAAAAAGAAAAAAAAAAAAAACCCTTGAAAGTAAATACTTATAGCAGTATAATCACAAAGGCCAAAAAGTGGAAACAACCCTTAGGTTCATCAACTAATAAACAGAACAGATAATTCAGCCATAAGAAAGGAATAAAGTGCTACTATAAGCTAGAACATAAACAAGGCTTCAGAACATTATGCTACATGATTCCATTTTTATGAAATATCTGCTACAGACCAATCCACAGAAACAGAAAGCAGATTAGTGGTTGCCAGGGAGTAGGGAGACAGGAGGAGTGACTGTTAATGGGTAAAGAGTGTTTTTGGAGTGATGAAAATGTCGTAAAATTAGATAGTTGTGATGATTGCAAACCTGGTGTACATAGTCAAAACCATTGAATTGTGTGCTTCCAAGTGGCAAAATTTATGGTATGTGACTTATATCTCAATTAAAAAAAAGAGCTGGTGTTTTACTGAGGAAGCTGGTGGGTTTCTTGACAGATGATTATAACTAAGGGTCTGTGGATTTTTAGGTGCTTGGAATTAGGTTTGAAGAGAAGGTATGGCCATGTGGCAGAAACACACATTCTAGACATCAAAGTGATTCTGGTCAGACAACAATGAGGGATGGCTGTTCTTGCCTCTAGGCCTGAGAACATTTCCCATCAGGCAACATCCATCCAAACCTCCTGGGAGGGAGCCATGGGACAGATCTGAGGCATCCTGCAGAAAGACCAGGTGAGGCTGGCAGCAGAGGTCCAAGGGGGTGGGGACAACAGAACCTACAGAAGGTGGTCAGATCATCCACCAGGTAGAAGAGACCAACTATGAAGAGCACCCAAGGCAAGGTAACAGAGGATAGTAGGTTATTAATATCTGCGAGTGAGAAGTAAGTCAGCAACATGCATACACAAAGGCACAGCCTGAGGACCAGGCCTGCTGAGCAAAGCTGCCCAGGGCACCTTCTCAGATGATTGCCTCAATCTATAGGCAGGATACACTTCCTGGAGTGCTGCCAGAAAAGAAAGTACTCCTTTCTCGAACTAGGGTGAAGAGGCTGAGTTGACTGTAGAAACGCTAATACATACAGTATTAGGCATACACCAGCCTTGGTTCTGTTCTCTTGGTAAAATCATTTGTTTAGAAGGCTTGGTGGGTTGGGAGCTCTGCCATATAGTCCAGCAGAACCTATAGCTACTGTTGGTGGCATTTCATGCTGGGTGGGGTCATTGTAGGAGCCATCCCTACAGCTGCTAGAAGGTCAGGCAAACTTAGAGCAGCAACAGATTGCCCTGACAAACATGGAGCTTAGAAATTTTGATATAATTGCATATTAATGAAGAGAGAATTGACATCTGGTGGCTTAAACATTTTCTTGATTGCTAGAGATCACGTTAAGGGCTTGCTGGTAGTGATAGGGGAGCCCACGGGTTATTGGCTTCTGGCTCAGTCCTGCTGCTAACTGCAATTATAATTCCTGCCACCTGAGGGCACTATTAGAAAGCAGAAAATGGCGGGTGAACTTGATAGTCAAAGGTGCTCAGGAATTAGCCAGGATAGTTCAAAGTGGGAGCAAGCCCAGAAATAGAAATTTGCATGTGTTCTGAAGTAGAGGAGCAGTATTTGATAACAGAAGGTAGTTATTTTAGGCAAATTGGAGGCAGAGCCCAAAGAGAGTCCCTTGAGGCATTGGTATAATGCTACAGAAGGTGCCTTTGGCCTTTCTGTAGCTACAGCTGGGCCTACTAAGGGCAGAGGTGTGTCCAATCCTATACACACCTGCAAGGTGGAGAGTGGAGAATCCTGCTTTCAGCCTCTGTTCCTGTCTGACAGAGGGACTGGATAGGACACTGGTGGGTGTCTGAGTCCTTGCCAGAAGAACATCACTCTGAAAGGACATGAGGAACCTTGGCAACAGTATCTGGCTCTAGGTGGAAGGGCTGGCAGGCTGGTGGAGACCTAAGTGGAGTAGGGACTCAGGAAGATTATCAGTTTTGCAGACTGGTCCCATCCCTGCACCTCTAGCAGAAGGTGCTTTTCTTCTTTTCTTAAATTTTTCCTACTTTTATCCTGTTATGCTAAAATAAGTCCTTGCTAAAACTTCCCCCAAAATTAAACAATCTGGTCACACATGGGGATGCTGATGATGCTGGGGCTCGTGGCAGGAGCTAAATGTACCCCAAAAGGAAGAGCAGCAACTAGGTGGGGCTGAGTCTGGGAGTTAGACAGGTCAGGAACACAACATAGAAAGATTTCTTCCAAGCTTTTGAGTCCTCAGTGAGCAGTGAATAAGTACTCACTTTTGTTGCTGTTGTTAGTATTGATTCCCTGGAATGGCACCTTTGAAGAAGGTATTCCTGTAGCACCTATGGACCAGAGGTTCCCATGAATGAGCTCAGAGCCACAAGGCTACAGTGGAAGTCTTATTCCAAACAGGAATTCTAAATATGACTCACTTCACTCATGATCCACATTGTCTCATGTTAGCTCATATGTGAATCTCGTGTTTTCTTTATTCTCTAGCACTCCCAAATTTCTGGGAGCATGTCACCTTTCTAAGGCAGATGATCTATCACATCCATCTACCTGGCTCACTGCTCCACCACTCCTGTGCTGCATGTGCCCACTGCCTGAAGAGTGAAGCCATCTTCCCTGGGGTTGCCTTTTCCTTTTTCTTGTCCTAGGACTCTCTCTGGGTCTGAGCCTCTCAGTCTAATGTATGCATCACAGAAACCTGCAACCCTCTGGTTTGGTCTGGAGTCTCCACAGAGAGTACAAGAGGGGGAGGGGAAGTGAAGGAATCAGTTTAAGGAGCTATTTCTGAAGTCATTTTCTCAATTAATGATTAGATTTTCCTAAGTAGCAAAGAAGAAACAGACTTTGAATGCATCCTTACTGGTTCACTCACATATACAGTAGCCCAAGGTGTCTGGTGAGGGAATACACATCAGTGGAGGAAGTGGGCTTAGACTTGTCTGTTTACTTTCAGATGTGGCCTACTTCTGTGGCCAAATTGCTTATCACCTTCTTCAACCTGAGAGCTTCACTGCTCTACAGTCCTGCTTATTCTCCTCCTCCAAAAGCCTACATTACTGGTCTATATACACTAGTGATCTTTTGGTTCCTTTGATTCTTAATTGAAGCTAAAGATAAAAGCACCCGAAGGGAGGGCAGAAGAGGAGGGTAGGTGCAGTAGTTTGTGCTTGTAATCCGAGCTACTCCAGAGGTGGCCATCAGGAGGATTGAGGTTTGAAGCCAGCCCAGGCAAAAAGGTAATCACCCCATCACAGTTGGTATGGTGGTGTCATCCCAGCTATGTGAGAGGCATAAATAGGAGGATCTTGGTATGAGGCCAACCTGGGGCAAAAAACACAAGACTATCTGAAAAATAACTAAAGCAAAAAGGGCTGGAAGTGTGGCTCAAGTGGTAGGGCTTCTGCTTAGCAAGATCATGAGTTCCAACCTCCTAGTATTCAGCCTTTTTGCTCAATGCTATCCTCACTGCAGCCCCTGCTTATTTGTTTTTAATATTTTTATAGCCTATAATAGTTGTACAGAGGGTTTCATTGTGACATTTCCATGTATGCATACAATGTACCTCAGTTATGTTTGTCCCTTCCGCTATTCTCCCTCTCCCTTCTTAAAATGACTTCAGCAGGTTTCAATGTTCTATATTCATGTATGTATAGAAAATGCAATGACCATATTCACCCTTCTTGTCTGTTTTTTGAGACAGGGTTTTGCTATGTTGCCCAGGCTGGTCTTGAACTCTTGGATTCAAGTGATCCTCCCACCTCAGCCTCTTGAGGAAGCTGGGACTATGGGTATGTACCACTGCACCCAGTTTCTTTTTTTTTTTAATGAATAGTGCACATGTAATCAATATGTAGGAGACAGACACACTTTTGAATTCTCATGTGTGGTACAGACAGCATCTTTGGGGGGAATATAGTAGATTATAGACTGTGTCCCTCCTTTTATAAAATTTAAAATCATTTCTATTTTCTTCTAAAATTCAATTTATGAGTCATTTGCTTTACTGTAGGAAGAGTCTCTTAATTACAATTGTGTTTATTGCTGCTGGTATAGGTTTAGACTATGATTAAGTAGAAATTTACCTCTGATATGTTCATTAATGAGCTGTAAATTCACTTCCTCCTGGAGAGCAGTTGGATCAAAGACACAGATATGCTCAACTAAATATCTGTTAATATACTGTGAACAAAGAACAAAAGAAAAGTTATAGGATCACTAGCAAATAGAAATGGTCACTAGTTCACATAATTCCATTTATATCAATTTTTAAACAAACAAAACCAGTTTCTGAAGGGTTGGGGAGGGAGGAGAAGAAAGTACTAGAGGGGGGTGAATATGATCAAAGTATATTATAAGCATGTATATATCACAGTGAAATCTCCCACATCATATAATTAATTTGTGCTAATAAAATGTAGAAAGAATCCCAATGTATGGTGTTAGAAGGAAATCTCATGTTTATGTTTCAGGTGTGTGGGTTGGGGGACAGGGGTAAGATGTCACTAGTGTTCTGGTTTTTATGTGTGTGGGGGGTGGGACAGGAGTTTGAACTCAGTACCGCTTAAGCCACACCTCTCAAGTACTGGCCTTGAGAACTATTTGCCTGGGCTGGCCTTGAACTGTGATGTTCCCGATCATAGCCTCCAAAGTAACTAGAATTACAGGTGTGACCCTCCAGCGCCCCAGCTATGTTCTGCTTCTTAGCCTAGGTATGGGTCATGTGGATGTCTTCATTATGTGAAGATTCCTGCATTTGTACACTTATGAGTTGTGTTGTTATGACTTGGGTACCCAATTTGTGTAAGGCTATTAACAAGTGATTTAGAAAAAAACGTACAAATTTACAAATATCCCAATTTTTGAAGTCACTTGAAAATTCCACGTCTGGATGAAAGAATAAGACAACTGCTCTCAGCACATCATGCACTAGGTTTACGTCAGCCTCCCACTCCTGGGACTTGGTATTTTCAGGCTCTGTCTGGAGGTTGTGGTCATAGAGCAACAGTGACACAAAATCCATGGAATTAAGTCGCTGGAGGCCGTCCTGCAGCTCCTGGAGCATGGTTCGGAAGAAGAGAATTCCTGCCCGCTGGACTTCCCCTAATTTTTCCATCTCTGGAATAACAGGATGACATCTCACATTGCTGTTCAGTCTCATGCATTACCTTTCCATAAGATTCTGAGCATATGACAGTAAACATTTTTTTTTTCAGGCAAACGAAGACTTTGTACTATGCTTTTAAATAATCTTAGCTTCTCTAGCCATGAAATCAAAAGAGAGATGGAATTACAACTAGTGCAGCCCTTAGGAAGGAGGCTTTGAGAAAAGATAAAACCTTGGGTTTTAGATTTAGGCTTTCGTTTGAATACATACTCTCTCCCTTATTAGTTCCATTGTCTCTTTGAATATCTTTTTCTCTTTTGTAAGAATGGGGCTGATCCCTACTTGCCTGGTGAGGTGTGGGAATTAAATGAGATGATATACATAAAAGTGCTTAGTTTTAGGACTTAGTGAATACCCACAAGACACGCATTTCCTTTTCTTTTTGTTTTTCTTTTCTTTTGTTTTTGAGATGGTGTCTTGCTATGTTGCCCACACTGGTCTCAAACTCCCAAGATTCAAGTGATTCTCCTGTCTCAGCCTCCCAAGTAGCTGGTATGGGGCTGGCAGAGTGGCTCAAGTGGTAGAGTGCCTACCTCACAAATGTGAAGCCCTGAGTTCAAACCCCAGTACCACCAAACAAACAAGCAAAAAAAATCCAAGTAGCTGGGATTCTCTCTATGCCCAGCGTTCCTTCTTCTTATCCCAATCTATGTAATGGCTAGAAATCTTTCTGCTTAATCTATTCACTTCATTGTAGCTAAGGGTTTCCATCCCTTCTCCTTTTCCCTGTCTCCAAGCTGGTATTGTGCTAAGAGTAGCATAGGGGATGTGGAATCTCAACAACTGGGGTTTTATCTTGGTGCTGCCACTAGCTTGCTATTGGGCCTTGGATAATCCACTTTCCTTTTGTGAGCTTTATCTTTGTTACCTGTAATGAGACGATCTGATTGCTTAATGTTGTGGAAAGAGCACCTGAATCTACATTCAAATCCAGCTTTCACCCTTTCTTCTTTATTTGGTGGTGCTGGGGTTTGAACTCAGGGAGGGCTTTCTTGATAGGTAGGTGCTTAACCACTTGAGCTAGGCCTCCAGCTCCCACCATTTGTTGCATACTTTCTCTGAACTTCGCTTCCTTCACCTGTAAAATGGGGTATTTTACTTAAATACACCAACAGTTGCTTTATGAGGTTATAGTAAGATTGAATGAAAGAACACATTTGAAGAACCCAATGCATGATGGGGCATTTCAGCATGCTAGATCTACCTTGCCTTCATGAGCCCTTCCAGTTCTAAAACTATATGGTTCTAACCCAGACAGTGTTATTCCCTGCTCTTTGCTTTAATTTGTAGACTATAGTCATCTGGCTAAGACTGGATAATGGAATTCCTTTCACATGGAAAGATCTATCTATTGAAATAATTCATTTTAGAAAAATGTATCCTTCATCCTAGTGTCTGTGATTTCCCACAAACCTATTAAACCCATTAATCCAGACTGACATCACATTCACAGTACCTAAGACAAAGTTTTTCTTTATCTCTCCAGAGAATTCACCCAGTAGTTCATCACAGGCAGCTTGGATCATCTTTATCATTTTCTGTAGATCTTTATATTCCTGATACAGCAGCATTCTCGTGTGGCCAATGTTAACGTCGAGGATCCCCAGAGCCTCTCCTGTTCTCTCACGAAGTGGAATTACTATGTGGGTTTCTCCACAGGTAGAGGCCAGAACAACTTCTGAACTGTCTGTACACTTGAAGAGGAAATCTCTGAAATTCAACCCAGATAAGCACATGGGTATTAAACATCAGCCTGTTCACAACATTCCACCCAAACATACTGTGTTGAACCTACTCACTTCTGTGCCCACCTCACTTCCACCATGGCAGCCATTGCTGTTTCATCTGCCCGGAACACTGTGCCCCTTGATTTCATGTAACTCTGTCCCTCAGCTCAATTCAGCGGGGTGCTTTTCAACTCAAATATCCCTTCTGCAGAGAAGCCTTTCCTGACCACCTAATATAAAGTAGCAGCACCCATGTCACTCTGCATCATGAGGTTCTGCTTCATTGTCTTTATTTATAGCTATACGTATCTGAAGGCACTTGGTTTTTTGTTTGCTTGTTGTTCAACATGGGTTAATTGAATGCCAGAAGGAACGACGAGTGTGTTAGGTCAGGTTCCCTAGAAGCAGAGCCTGAGACAAGGATACTTATGCAAGTAATTTATTGAAGGCATGAGTGGTCGCTGAAGAAACCTGTGAGGGACTGAGGGAAGAAGTGAAGTACAAATGTAATTTCAGCCTGGCCTCAGCCTCAGCCCAAAGGGGAGAGCTGGGAGATCAATTGTACCAAAGAATCTGCTGACCTTAAGGCAAGGGAGGTCTTTTGCATCATCGGATCTAAGTTGCTCTGGATGTGTGGTGGTGGTTTGAGCAAGCCTCCAGGGAGTTACAGTGTGAGCTGTTTGTTACAGGTGAGGTATTGCTGCCTGTAGCAGCACCTACAGCAGCTGGCAGAAGGTGTGATGGGTGTCCAGACAGGGCATCAACAGCGTCCTTCAGTGAGAGACTGAGGTTTTCATGGAAGTATGGCGGATGATGTTTTCTCTAGTGAGGAATAGACACATTCCTTTTAGAGTTGTTCTGAATCCTGTTTGTGTTAGTGATATAATAATGTATGAGCCTGGAACAGGTGGCTCATCCCTGTAATCCTAGCTACCCAGGAGGCAGAAGTTGGAAGGATGGCAGTTCGAGAGGGGGTAGCTGTGGAGTTCTCGAGACCTCATTTCAACCAATAGCTGGGCATAGTGGTTCACACGCGATATCCATGCCACACCTGAGGCTGATGAGGAGGCTTTCAGTTCCAGACCAGCCAGCACCTGTCAACCCAGCTACTGCAGGAAGCATAAAGAGGAAGATCACAGAGCAGGAAGGATCAGGGCAAAAAGAGAGACTCTATCTCAAATAACCAGAGCAAAAAGGGTTTGGAGATAGAGCACCTACTTCGCAAGCTTAAGCCCTGAGTTCCAACTGTAGTAGCATTACAACAACAACAAAAGAATAGATGAGTTATTAAAACTCACAGGGCTCCTGGTTTGGTAGCTCACAGCTGAGCTACCAAACCAGTAATACTGTAATTCCAGTATTGAGGCAGAGATCAGCCTCAATACTCAGCGGAGTATTACAGTTCAAGGCCAGCCTGGGCAAAAAGTTTGAGAGACCCTATCTCAACCAGTGGCTGAGCATGGTGGGGCATGCCTGTCATCCTAGCTACTCCGGAAGTGGAGATAGATCAGGAGAACTATGGTCCAAGTTGTCCCAGAAATAAGTGTGAGACCCTGTCTCAAAAATAACCAAGTCAAAAACTTAGCAGTACTGGGTCTTGAATTCAGAGCCTACATCTTGAGCCACTCACCAGTCCCTTTTTTTTATGTTGGATATTTTCAAGATAGGGTCTCTCAAACTATTTCCCCTGGCTTCGATCCAAGATCTTCCTGCTCTCTGGCTTCTGAGTAGCTAGGATTACAGGCATGAACCATCAGTGCCTGGCTATTTTTTATTTGTAATACATTAATAACATGAGGGTATTTCATTGTGACAATTTCATACATTCATACAGTGTACTTTGAACAAGTTCACACACTCCATTATATGTCCTTTTTCTCCCTTTCTCCCCCCTCTCTCTTCCTTCCTCTTTCAAACAGTGTTAGCGTGTACTAACAAGAGACAGAAGCTGTGCCTTTCAGATTTCCTATCACAGTAGGGAATGTGTTCTGGCAGTCAGAGAAAATGGACATGTCTCCTACCTGAAGATGCATAACTTCCTGGAGATGACAGGGGGATTTGTGTGGATTTCTGTTAGACCCATCTGCCCTGTAACCATCATATCACGTAAAATATAGTCTGTCACCTTAAAAGAGAAAGAGATTTCATTAGGCAGGAATAATTACACCTCCTCTCCTCATTAAAGCTTTTGGGGATAGATACATAGAGGAAATTTAGGAATGTTTAGATGACCTCTAGCTTTAAAGACACTGACATTGTACTTACTCAGTATTATTAAGGAACAAAGTTTTCCATAACAGAAAATTTTCTTTTATCTTTTTTCTTTTTGCAGTACTGGGGTTTGAACCCAGGACTTACACCTTGAGTTACTCCATCAGCCCTTTTTTGATGCTTTTTTTTTGAGATAGGGTCTCTCAAACTATTTGCCCATGCTGGCTTCCAACTTCGATCCTCCTGATCTCTGTTTCCTAAGTAGCTAGGATTACAGCTGTGAGCCACCCATGCCCAGCTAAGTAAGTCTTGGTCAACAGGCTTTTTTTTTTTTTTCTTTTAGTAGAGACCAGTTTATTTATAAGAAAACAATATTAAGATAGTCTGTAAAATACCATGCTAAACTATAGCAGAGACAAATTCAATTTGGAGAAGTAAAGTGAGCTTTTTATGTACTCCCTTTAAAATAAAATAACTGTTGGAATAAAAGAGAAACTATGACAAAGGAATCCACAGGGCTATATGCTGAATGGTGCTCTACCAATCTCTTTAGATGAAAAGTGTTTTCAACATTATGCTTGGTGTCTTAGTCTGATTTGTTGCCAAAACAGAATAAAGAAAAGAAATCTATTTTCAAGTTCTGGAAGCTGAGAAGTCCAATATCTGCCAAAGGCCTTCTTGCTGCATCATCTCATGGTGGAAGGCAAAAGGGTGTGAGGGGGTTTAGGATTAAATTTGTAGCCTCCAGCCTTTTATAACCAGCATTAATCCATTTTGAGAGTGAAACCCTCATGACCTACACACTTCCCACTAGCCTGCAACAATCCCTGCATTGGGGATTAAGTTTCTAACACATGTTTTTTTGAATACATTCTAACAACAAGCACTTGGCAAACTGTTAAGATCATCCCACACTGGCAAGTAGGCTTCTGGCTTCTTTCTGAGTTTCTTTCATTGTTTGTTATTTGATGTTATACATACTAGACTGAAAAGATTTTTTAAAAAACATCTTACCCTAGCTATGTTTCTAGGTCTGGTCTAAATCTTTAGCTAAAACAAATTCCTTTCCTGTTTTTCCATCCCCAAATGGTAATATATTGGCCACTCCTACTGTAAGATCAGAAGCACAAATTAGAAAATAAGGGACTCATAATATGCCTAAATGTGGCACTCAGAAGACTGAGGCAGGAAGACTGAGGCAAGTTGGAGGTCAACTGGACTGCACAGTGAGACCCTGTCTCAAACACAAGCAAATCAAGAAGCAAAATAAATAAATAAATACAAATGTGAATGTACTCAGTGCCACTGAATTGTACACTTCTGATTTGTTAAAATGACAAATATTATTCTCTGTATATTGTCATAATGAACAACAGCAAAATAAAACATCCTATCCAGTCTCAGGGTTTTGTGTTTTATTTTGTTGTTTATTTATTTATTTATTAATTTTAGGGGAGAGGTTGGTAGCTCACTACTTTTTTTTTTGTTTGTTTCTTTGTCTTTGACGGTATGGGGGCTTGAACTCAGGGCCTCATGCTTACTAGGCAGGTACTACGAATTGAGCCACTCCACCAGCCCTATTTTGTTGTTTATATGATAAAATATACAGAGCATAATAATTGTCATTTTAACAAATCAGAAGTGTAGAATTCAGTGGCACTGAGTACATTCACATTTTTATTTATTTATTTTTGCTTCTTGATTAGGGTCCCACTATGTAGTATAGGTTGATCTCCAACTTGCCTCAGTCTTCCTGTTTCAGTCTTCTGAGTGCCAGGATTACAGACATACTACCATGTGTTACACAACATGTGTGTCTCGTGGTTTTAAATATCATTAATTCATTAACCTGGATTTCCCCCCCAAACACTCAGCTCATATACCAACTCCCAACTGCCTATCCAGTATCTTCATTGGGATGGCTAACAGACATGTGAAATTGCATACATACACACACATTTTGGTGGTGTACTAGGGTTTGAACCCTAGACTTCCCACTTGTGCTGGAGCCACGCCTCTAGTCCTCAAATTATATTTTTAAAAATCTTTTTAAATTTAGTAGTAAAAATATTTTACTTTGTATTAATTTCATTGAGAACAATTGAATTCTTTCATGTATATGTATTGTTTGCATGAAATTTTTTATTGTTGCTTTAAAATAGACTTGTCCTTTGCTTACTTTCCTTTTGGATTAAAAAAATCTTATTGATTTGTATATTACAGTGTTAACACTTTGTCAGGTATATGGAAATTTTTCCCCAGATTGTCATAGCAATTTTATTTATTTTTGTGGTAATGGGGATTACTTCCTTAATTGTTCCAGCCTTTGGTGTAAGCATAGCAATCATTTCCCACACTCAAACTGTAAATTTTCTCTTAACCCTTATGTTCTTAGCTACTCTATGAAGATTAAAATCCTTTGTCAAGATTTAAAAATTCATGTTGGATTGTAGGTGTGAACCACCATGTCTGGCTACATTCCAGGTTTTGTATGCATGTGTATACTTTTTATTATTAATTTTTTTTAATCAAATGTGAAGTCATCCTCTGCTTAATACTTTCAATAGCTTGTTTCATACCATGTTTTTTTTCCCCTATGACATTAAATAATTACTCCATTTAAAAAAAAAAGAATTAGGACATGGAGGTAGAAGGGCCATTATTCTGCCTAGCATAGTTACCTATTTAATAAGTGCATTACTCAAAGGAATAGTTAGACATAGGTGCTTTGGAGTGATAAACTGAAATAGCCTGAACTTTATTCTTTTTCTTTTTTTTTTGTTTTGGTGCTGGGGTTTGAACTCAGGGCCTACACCTTGAGCCACTCCATCAGCTCTTTTTTGAGAAGAGTTTTTTGAGATAGGGTCTGTAGAACTATTTGCTAGGCTGGCTTTGAACCGCGATCCTCCTGATCTCTTGTTTCCTGAGTAGCTAGGATGACAGGCGTGAGCCACTGGCGCTGGGCCTGAACTCCATTTTTAAGAGAATTCGAATGTCCTATTGCCCTCATTTATGGTTATCAATAGAGCAAGATACTTCCTTTCCTCCATGACTCTGTACGTTATAGGAATATGGGCATGAGATGAGGTAGAGTATCTCAGAATGTACTTTATAATTTGTATCAGTTGGGGTAGCAGAAAGAAACAGATGGCATGTCAAAACTCAATAATTTGAGGAGCTTTTTATAAAGGCACTATTTATGAAGGTTTGGGCAGTGTTTAGAATCCTGGTCTAGTAGCTGTTATCACCCTTAGCCTCAAGAGGCAAGGGGAGGAAGCAAAGACCAGAACCTAGAGAAGATAGCTGTATGGGGAGGACACCTGACTAGAGAAGAGGTGGCCTTAGAAGAACGCAGCCAGCTCATAGCAACCTGGCAGGAGGGAGCCAGAGCTCAAATAATTCAAACTCAGTCTCCTCTGCCTTTCAATTTCCTGTTAGTGACTTTCACTGGACAAACCAAACAGAAGCCACAGGGTCAAGTAGCCCATTGATACTGTTTACAGTTTGAGGTCCAGGGCAGATGAGAATAGAGGAAAGTGGATTTGAAGGGGCTGCAGAAGGGTAAGGGGGAGGCTTAGGAAGTTATGATAACTTCATGCTTGAAAAAAGTTATCCATCCATAGCCACATTCAACTATTTTTAACACCAAGAGCTCACCATAGTGCTTTGTCCCTAGGCTAAAACCCTCACTATAGCTGTGGGTAGGCTGTTCTGGTCTCTGTTCCACAGAGACCTCACTCAAACTCTGGCTTTTTAAGTGGACTGCCTCTCCCTCTCCACCTTTCAACATGGTCTTCTTCACCACCATAAGAAAGCCCTGGGTCAGGTGGACCATGACCCTTAGGCTTTGTCCACATTGTCACAATTCTGAAATTACATGCCATGGAAGTCATGCTTCTGGCTGACTGCTTTGTATTACTTTGGCCTTTTGCACAGTGCCCTAGGTGTTGTTTTCATTAAGGGCCCTCAAAGTTGCTTCCGAATTCTCCCCAGACCCTACACACTGTGGTCCCACTGCAGCAGTGGTCCATGGGATGGAATGGACTGTTCCAGATATGAGAACATGTGGAGGCTCTCACTGTCACTCCCAACTCATCCTGCCCTCACAAACAATGTCAATGACAAGGTATTCTCAGCTTTCCTACCAAACATGGCCACCTTACAAGACCTCTGTGATTCTACTTTCTAAGGCCAGGGCTTCATCAACTTGGCGCAGTCACTGAGGGAGGGAAGCAGAGGCCTTGGAGGGGAGAAAAGAAGAAGCAAGGAGGGAAGAGGAGGGATGCCTGCTTCAAGGGACTGGGAGACAACCAAGGTGATGCCACCACATGATCAGGCACCTCACAGTCATTTAGCTTCTTTAAAAAGAAAAGACACCAGTCAGGCATGAAGGCACATGACTGTAATCTCAGAGATGTCATGTGGATCTCAAGTTCAATGCCAGCTAGAGGCTTTTGAGATTGTCTCAAAAGCAAAATGAAACGCCGGGCACCATTGGCTCACACCCATAATCCTAGCTACTCAGGAGACAGAGATCAGGAAGATCGAGGTTCAAACCCAGCCCAGGCAAATAGTTTGCAAGACCCTATCATGAAAAACCTTTTACTGGTTTTGATGGAGGCCCTGAGTTCAAGGTGAAGGCCATGAGTTCAAGCCCCAGTACTGCAAAAAAAAAAAAAAAAGCAAAATGAAAACAAAAGGGCTGAAGGCGTAGTTCATGTGGTTGAGCTCTGACCTAGCAAGGGCCAGGCCTTGGTTTCAATCACCGACAGGGCAGAAATAAATAAATGAATAAATAAATAAAATGGAAGACATCTTTCCATCCATTCTCATCATATGGACAAGTAATGTTAAAGTATAAAGAAGCAAAGTAAACATTCAGCAAAACTTCCTCATATTATACACAGAAAGACTTAAAAAACACCCCATATTGTTGTGATGTAATTATGTCCTTCTGAAACAGCAGCCTCTCATCCCTTTCCACTTCACTCTTATAATTCTGGTAGGTGTTGCCTCTTTGGCTATACCTCAGGATGAGTCAAAAAAAATTTTTTTTTCTTTCTTTGGCTTTCAAAATTGGAACTTTTTACTGGAAGCATTACTAAGTATCTGCAGAGAAAGCCCTGAGGAGAAAAACCATCTTCAGCTAGAAGGACAAAGCCAGTGTGCAAGGAAGCTATCATGAAAAGTGGGAGCTGGTGGCTCACACCTGTCATCCTCGCTACTTAGGAAGCAGAGATCAGGAGGATTGCGGTTTGAAGCCAGCCTGGCCAAATAATTCGTGAGACCCTATCTTGAAAATACTTAACACAAAAAGGCTGGTGGAGGAGTGGCTCAAGGTACCTGAGTTCAAACCCTGGTACCACACACACACACAAAAAAAAGTAAAACTGGGAAGACAGAAAATATGAAAGAGCCCTCATGATCTTGAACCCTGAGATCTAGTCATCCTGGAAACCAGCTTAACTCTTGTTCTTTCTTCATCTTGGTCACAAGAGCCAGTCAGTTCTCCTTTTTGCCTAAGGCAGTTGAGATGAATTCCTATTACTTATGGTAAAGTGTTTTGAGTTGAGGTTCATGGGAAATATGCCTCTAGTTACCTCAATGTCTAACTAATATGGTCGGTTTGCTTTGTTGTTGTTGCAGTGCAGGTAATCAAGTCCAGGCCCTTGAGCATGTAAGATTAGTGCTCTACCACTGAGGCACATCCCCTTAATATGGTTTTTAAATATTAACAAGGCATTAACTTCCAGTAACTCTGTTATGTTGAAGAAGTCTAATACTGCCTAACTTTGCCTACCTGGTCTGGGCTGGGCTCAACAAAGTATGTAGTGATGGAGGTGATTGCAGGTGTGATGTTGAAGAGCCAGCCAATGCCAGTGACCACAGTATGTAGGATGTGCTCTCTGCTGTGGACATAATGATAGGCAGTGCTAAAGACACTGGCAACACCCTGTAAAGACAGAAGATTGAAATTGCATTTTCTTTTTAAAATAGTAATTGATAATGCATTAATTAATTATTCTTTAAATTCATAACAATCTACTTCCTGCAATTTAGTTCAAATCAGTTCTCAAAAGGTAGCGTTCCAGGTTCTACTATGCAAAAAGGATCATCAAGAAATCAACAGTATAAAGAGAGATTCATGTAACTTTTTATGGTTTATGATAATCATCCAGTAAAATATGTGATATGTGCTATCATAGAATAGAGTCAGAACAACAAGATAAGCTTTGAAATGAGAAAAAGTAGTTTAAAAGTCAAGATTCTAGCTCTGGGAAGATGGCTAGGAAATGCCCAATATTAATTTTTGCATCTATGGCCACTGCCATCAGATCAACAGTACAGGACATACTTGCTTCCAAGGTCCATGCTAGTTAAATGGTCTTCGTTTAGGCATAAAGAGACCTTGTTTCATGGAGAAGTGATGGGCCATCCATCTGTGTTATTGTCAAGAAACTCTAGGAACCACAAATTCTTCAAAATCATATACACACACCTATAACATACATACACACCTCACTCAGGACTTCAGTCATCTAAGGACAGGCCAGGAGCCTTTATCACCAAGTGCTAGAGAGCCAATTTATAATTCATTTGGACATGTTTACTAACAAGACTATAAATGTTCACCTACTGATAACTCCATACTCCTCCATTTTATTCCTTAAATGTTTGTCTCATATTCATTTGACATAAGAATGAATCTTAATAGGAAGATGTCCAGAGAAAGAAAGTCTCTCACTTTCCTCAGTTATCCACCCAATAAATAGAAAAAAGAAAATTAAAAATAATGATAAATGAGCCTAAAGAACCAAAGTTTACCGGGGAACAAATGACAAGGGCACAGCAAGTTTCTGACTTGCTGCCACTCCACAGTTCACTGGACTCTGTAAAGGCTTTACTTCTTCCTTCATTGCAATTTCTATCCACAAAATGAAATCAAAATGCTTGTAGAAATGGTCTAGTTATTTCATAGTTTTAAAAGTCCCTATCTTTTTTTGTGATCTAATTTGAAAACATAAATACCCAAAAAAAATTTGGACTTTTTTCCTTATTCTTTGTCCTCAAAAATTATAACATTAAAATTAAGAGCGGTGGGGAAGCATGTCATATTTAGCACCCTTGGTGGAAAACATAGAGAATTTATAGGTAGCACTATTACTAAAACATATTAATATCCCTTCTAAGGGTTTTTAACTACTTTGTTGGTCTTAGTGGTTTAATCACTGGAATTCTATTCCTATGAGTAATGCTATGAGACACACTAACATAGATATGCAACTAAGGCTGAGAATCCTTTCATAAGAAATGCGGAATCTCTCCAAAGACTGACACACACACAGGGAACAAGGAGCCAGCATAAGGACATTATCTATATACGTAGCTTTGACTGCCTCTGGCTTTAGGTTTCACTTCTGAAGAAGTATAGAAGGAGAGGTCATCATATTATTGTGCTTGAAGATTTGTATAACTTACTTACCTGATAGAATCTGATCTCATGAGGAAGGAAGATGTTTATTTCACGGGGATCTCTAAGAGTATCAACAGCCAAGACCCCAAAGATCCTCATGTGTTCATCCTGAAGAGGCAGAGCCAGGAATGACCCATTACGATCATCCTCATTGCGGGAATTGTTCCAGAAGAAGATGTTCCCATGGTACTGAACTTGGGGAACATGGATTGGCACACCTTCATCCACAACTGTGAAGCTGAGGAAAAGGAATACAGAGATGGGGGGAAAGACACAGAGGGAGGCTTTATGTTAAACCCTGCACTAAACTAGATCAATTCTCATCCACAATAATGGGCTTTATATGTAAGAGAAGTGGACTCAGATATGATTACCGGTTTGGAGGGCCTAACTTGAGGAAAAAGAATTTAAAAACAATCTTAGGGGATGTAGCTCAGTGGCAGAGCACTTGCCTGGCATGTGGAAGGCCCTGAGTTCAATCCCCAGTACTACAAAAGAAAAACAAATACAAAAAAAATCTTAGCTCTTAAAGAGGGAACACATATAAGCCAGATGCAAGAGATATAATGAGCTGATATTGTGAAGTTGAGTCCGTACATGGCAAAGCATTGCCAAAGTGAGAAAGATCAAATAAAATCATCTAGGACTGGAAGCTCAGAAGTTCCCACTCTAGAAGCACTGGTGACTTGAGACAGTTCTCTCTGGAACAGCCCACTAAGATTTGTATGCCAGTTTACTTCAGAAGGGGAGTTACTTTTCTAGAAAGATGAAACCAACCTCTTCAAGACATTCTTACCTGATTCCCTTCATGTCCCGGTAGAGCACTTTATTTAGTACAAATGGAGCATCATCTAGGGTACAAGCCACATTCCTCAAGAGAACATTTCCTCTCTCTTGCAGTAGCAGGTTTTCTTCTAAGAGGGAAATGTGAGCACTGATCTTCTTATTGCCATGGGCTTCAGCATCCTGTGGCAGAATGTTTCCGACTGTGTATTTGCCAACAAAGAAATCTGCCAATCCCTTCACTAACCAATAATTTCATTTTCCTGAATGCAGATATTACCATTCATGGTGGGGCACAAAGGGAGGGTGACACACAGTTGTCCTCCAAACCTGAGTTTCAGGGAATGGAATGGATTTTCCTTTATGCAACTAGACTACTTTACTGAAAACAAAAACAAAACAAAACAAAATCTCAAGTCTAGTCAAATTTAGAGGCTTAAAATTTAGATTCCTTTGAACCATTATCATGTTTTCTGGGTTTCAATAAAAAGTATTGATTTCAAAGAGATGGAGCAAGAAGATACCTTCACTGGGCATTGGTGGCTCATGCCTGTAATTCTACCTACTTCAGAAGCTGAGATCAGGAGGATAGAGGCTCAAGACCAGCCCAAGCAAATAGTTCGAGAG